TGTTGTTTGTTGTTAGATCTTTATTTTTTAACGCATAACTCAATTTCGTATTGATTGCCAGTGACGATGAGGGGATGTTGCAGTGGTTAGGTGAAGGGACGACACCTAGAGATGCTGTGGCGATACTCTATTTTTAGCAATTAGTAGAATCTTGTTAGTATATCATCTTTTCATAATGTACGTATTTGTTATTATAAAGTGTATCTTGTTTAAACGTATCAAGATTCAAGTGTATATTTCTTAGTAGTGAATGTGATTTTTACATCTTCACAGAGAAGAAGATGACATCTACAATGCATAGTTTTATCTATTTTATCAACTGCAATGAATTGTATGACACATTATATAATAAGAATTTACTTAAGTATTAGAATTAAAGAATATTGTTTACTGACGAACGAATTGAGTAGAAATTATTGAGTTTCTAGTTTATTAATTATATTTGTACGGTCACTAATTTATTAAATGTCATCACAAAAAATATTAAATGTCGTCACAAAAAAAATGTTGGTCATCATTTTTGTTAATGTAAGAAATTTATTTTACCGACAACCATTCAATAATACCTATGGCTTTGTCCCGTTACAAATGGTCAATTGGGATGGCTCGTCAACGAAAAAGTATTAGTGACGCGCGTATTTGCGACTGAGAGCAACGACAACATGTCGTCGTAGAAGAGCTTTGTGCCAAACTTTGAACTTTTGTGATGAAATCTTATGGTCACTAATGACCTTTTTGTAGTGTCTATCGTTTAGACGGGAGTGCAGGTCGGGAATCGATGCTTGAGAGATCCGGGCTTACCATCTGAAATGCTTCACCTACCTAACCCCTTCCATCATCTCAACCATCATTTCCCCCACATGAGGCGTGAAAAGGAAAGTGAATGTTGCTTCCGCTCTTGCCCTTGTCTTGCAAATGCAAATGTGGTGTCATGTTTGGAAAAGTTAAGTTGAGCCTCAAAGTTTGATTCCTCTTTTGAAAAAAGTAGGACCACCACCATGGAGTCCATTGCTTTAATTTTCACGTTTTTCTTGAGAACTCCCCGGGTGCATGCGTGAAGTACTATGTAGACCACTTTAGTCAGCAAGATTCTCATCCGAAAGTTTGTGTTTTCAAGTAGAGATAGAAGTAATATTTTCTTGTTTCTGATTGTCTTCGAGGTGCTATCCACAACCTATAGTGCATACTATTCTGAGCTTCTTGCATGATGCACTAGTGTCAGTTAGGTTTGCTTGGGGACAAACAAACGACCAAGGGTGGGGTAGGGAGTTTGATTCAAGCCATTATATATATATATATATAGATGGTTCTATCGTACCTTGGGTAAAATCAAGGATACGACAAACCCTAAATTAAAAAACTCTAGCTAGACTTCGAATTGACCGGAATTTGGCATCTGACACTATTTATAAACCTTTAAAGATTGAAATCAAGGTTTTAATTTTATAAATATCATATACTAAGATCAATTTAATTAGAAACAAAAATCGACGGTCATGATTCGTCGAAATATATGCCAAAAATTAAATTCACAATCTTGGTGCGTTAGGCTCTATGATTTAGATAACAAAGACCCAGGGTTCACCTATCAAGGGTTAGGGTATAGTATCATGTCAAAAAATCTGATTAATTCGAGGTCTAGATATCGTTTTCTTACTCAAGGTATGTCGTACCCTCGATTTTACCAAGGATATGCTAGCCTTTGCCATATGGTGGCGTCTTCGGCGCACTCACTTTTTTGGGAGCATTCAGTGCATCCGCTTCATAACCGTCATTATAAACATGCGATTTATGTCAAAATGATGTCAATCATCACTTATGATGTGATGAACAACAATGCACATGAATTTGCACAAAACCCATTGAAGAGTTACTTTAATTTGAAAAAATTAGAGTTTAGAGATTTAGGGTTAGGGTTTACAATTTGGGGTTTAGGGATAGAACTCAAAATTTGAGGTCTAGGGCTTAGGGTAATCCGCTAATTAGTTGTTATCATATGTTATATCATCATATTACACTAATTCTACAAATTAAAATTCAAAATCAAACACCTTAAGCGTAGTTTTTTAGTTGGGTGCATAGAACGCACTCATTTTTGTGAGTGCACCGAAGTAGTCACCTATATATATATATGGTAAAGGCTAGCGTACACCTATCGTACCTTATACGTCTGTGTTCACACTAGAAAATTAATTATTTAAATATTTAATGTCAATTATTAGTACATTAGTTATTAATAATAATTCGCATTACAACCACATCCATTAACTAATTGTTGTTTAAGTTTTAGTCCACCTAAATCTCTAGCCGAAATATCCACTGTTGCCCCAACACTAAGAAGAAGTCGACGTACTCCAGGCTTTCCCACGAATGACAATCCTCCTCGGCCGCCAGTCGCTGCCGATGATCTTAACTATAAGAAAGCACATTCTGGTGTTGATTGTTCATCTCGACGTTGATGTGCCGCCACTCTCCTCGTCTTGCTCGTCCTGTTTGTGGTGGTCGCCGGAGGTGGGTTTGCCCAGACAGATGGGTATGATATAAATTAATAATGTGACTACCTGTTTGATGGGGAAACAATAAATAATTTCAATTCATGAGAAAGTTTGACTAGTTTCACCTTCTATGATACAATCCCAAAGCTCCCTGATCCTCCGCCTCTAATCGCCCAGAAAACCTCTTTCACCGCTGCCTTTCTATTCACAATCCTTCTGTGAACATCCATGCAACAACAAACGATTGTATTTTCTGACCAGAGACCCGAAACCCGCCGTTGCCAAAGTGTTCACTAACTGGCAGTGTGAGGTAGAGGATGCTAAGAATGCTAGGTGGGTACTCTGTTTTGCAATCACATAGTTTAAGCTCTCCAAGCCAGCATCATACTTTGAACCAACGACCAACAGCGTCTCTTTCATGACAAAATTCCTGTGCAATGGTGGGCGCGGCTGCAGACTCTTATCCGAATCCTATATTCCTTGTTGTAGAGTCGCGTGGGTTGGATTTAGTTCTCGTCGGAAGGATGAAAATGAGGAATGGCTTGCATTTGGAGTTCAAGTATCTGAGGTTTTGGACTCTCGGGTCCTGAAGGAACGAGAATATAGAAGATTGAAGATGGATACATGACGTCAATTTTGTTTAATTTCATGCTCTGTATTTCATAAATGAAAGTTTCTCTCTCTACTCTCTAGGTTTCAGAACTTGTTGCGTCAACTGGGAAGAAGACGATGAAACTAATCTTGCTAATTAAGCTTTGATCGTTCGACTATAATGGGCTTATTGGCCCACTTTGAACAAACTTGAAGTCAAAATAGCAAAGCCTACATTCTTACGATGGTAAAGGATATTTGGGACTAAATTGTATCGAAAATTAAATTCATAGATTTTATCGCAATTATAATTATTATCAATTATTGTTAAATTATAATTAATTAAAAATAATAACATGTGTGAACACAGGCATACAGTGTACCTCAGGTGTACGCTAGCCTGAACCATATATATCGGAGAGGGCTACGGAAGGAATGCTTTAGTTGCAAGCGAAGGCGGGTCAGGGCGCCCTGTTTGTAGGAAAATAGGGCGCCGCCTACTATAAGCAACTCCTTGAGCGAAACAAGCACTACATCCAACACCCGCCCACCATCGACAAATGTGCTCTCTTGTCTAAACAACTATTCTACACTAGCCTCGCCAGGTATATATGTCTCTGATTAACTACTGCAATCCATTAATATAACTAATCAAATCTCATAAGTATCTGGAAAGGATCAAGAAAATGCAATCAGATTGATGTTTTTGGCCCCAAGTAATAACTAATTAGGAAATTCCTACAATACCTTTAAGTTATGGTAACTTGATGTTTTTTACCTGCTATAATAGGTTTCACAAGTCGCATTACGTAAAATACAATAGACATTACGTAATGGTTACGTAATGTGTGTTTATCTTACGTAATAGTTGATAAATGTCATTACGGAAACCTTACGTAATAGACACTCATTTTACGTAATGAATATTAACCTTTCGTTACGTAATATGTTGAATCATTATGGAAGGCTTATGTAACACTTCTAATTTAACTGTTACGTAAGAAATAACTATCGTTACACAAACTTTACGTAATAGATGCATACTTTACATAACAGTTGTACGAAAACCTTCCGTAACACTTCTAGTTTAACTGTTATGTAAGACTAACAAGCATTACGTAATTGTTACGTAATAACCATTAGTTTTACGTAACGCGACCTATAAAACCTGCTATAGCAGGTCAAAAACGTCAAGTTATAGTAACTTCAAGGCATGGTAGGAGGTCCCTAACTAATTAACTTATCTTATTTGCTAATGTACGCGTTCCTCCAATCTGTGTGACCTCTGAAATTTGATCTTTGGTTTACATGTTTAATGGGATGTGATCGAATTACTACCACACAACATCCCTGCTCGGTAAGAAGTATTGTAGAAAGAGGCGCAGGTGGCGAAGCAGGCGATGATGACAAAGAGGAATTGGAAGGTTGAAGACGCTGGCATCGTCGTACCGCCAGTGAGATCGCAGGTCATGGTTTGACAATAACAGACTACTCTATTTGATTAATGATGCGGAACGGGATTTCACGCACCGGTGATCTCGAGCGATTTAGCGAAAGAACTAGAAAACACGATAAAAGAGCTACTTTTCTCTACTAACTACTTAATACTTTATTGATCGAATTCATAAAACGAAGAGCAAAGGTACATATTTATAGGATTAATCCTACAAACCCCTTTCCTCTTAAGACAAGGAAACCCAAACCTAAAGCAACAAGTAAATGAATACTTCCTAAACAAGATACATAATAATAATCCTAGACCCAAACTAATACGAATAACTCGAATAATAACCGAATATCCCAACAAATATAATAATAAAACAATAATAATATTAATGGGCTCGGCCCAAGATGCTGTCACGCATCAATCCTCCCCCCTTTTAAGAACTTCGTCCCCGAAGTTCAGGCGCCATCTCAACCCGGATCAATGAAAAAGAATCCCTCCCACGTGTTGATGACTATGAAGAGAGCATTTCTTTGTCGACGCCAAACTCGCTTATGAAATTTCCAATTAGGCTTGGGCACTCGAACCAAACTCCTATCCTTGAAAACGTCGAGTACCATCAAGTTCTTTCTTGCACACCACTCGAGCTCCCTTTCTTCCAATTCCATCTCATCATGCAGGAAATGGCTTGTCCAGCAACCTCCATTGTCCAAAAGCAATTCCCCATGCAACTCACGTACATATGTACCAGGACAGGTTCTTTTCATGTCAATGTTGTCTTCGTCCCATCCCCGCAAACCATATGCAAAACCAAACCTCCACTCCATATCTTGCACTTCAACGTGGCCTTCAATTCCTGGCATGGAGAGAGTTCCATCATTAGCCTTGTTAAAACCAAAGGATGTACTTGCCTCCGTCGTAGGGTCCCAAGACGTCAAGGTCTTCGTACACGAATGTGCGCCGACCTCCTTTATGGTTCCACCCGCAAGTCCCATGGCACTAACAACCGTAGCCACCATCGAACCCACTCCGTACAAGAGAACCCTAGTTAGGCCGCCCATGGAGGGTCCGATGCAGCCTTGAATCAAGCTGTTCGCCACCGAGTTTGATCCTCGTCCAGCCACATCACGCTCATGGACTGTCGTGGAGCAAATCCATGTCGAGGCGGTTGCCGACGTGGCGGCGGAGAGGACAACATCAATGGCGGGGGAGACTTCCTTCAGCGTTGGCTCCATGGGCTTTGACGTTTGAAGACTCGACTGACCCCCTCGGTTGCAACATCTGGTCCGTCGCGGCGTGAAGTCATTATCGCGCAAACTCCCACCGACAGCTGTAACCTCGTTGTCGGGATTAATGGCTCCTTGCAACGTGACCCATTTACTTTTGTATTTGAAGCGCATGGTCCTCAGCTGCCAATTAATCGTCAGAGGCGCCAACTCTTTAAGCCAATGAACGCCAAAGACAACTTCGAGGCCATGAATCGGAAGCTCAAACAATTCAACGACCAACCTTGTGCCCTGAACTTCAATAGGAACAGCTTCAAAACAACGGTTACAAACTAGACAATCGCCATTGTCAACCTTAACCTCGAACGGCGGAATCGACGTAGCTTGCAAGGACAACTTCTTTGCAACTTCGCGGATTATGAAATTGTGTGTCGAACCATGGTCAACTTGCACGATGGCTGGTTCTTGGTGAACTGTTGTGTTGAAGCGGATGATCGTGGGTTTAGAAACGCCGGTGAGAGCGCACAAGGAGATCTCTACATTGGCCGGATTACGAGGCTTATCCGGTGGCTCGTCAAGCTCGATCGGTGGTTCTCCATCGACAAGCTTCAGAACTCTCTCCCCGACTATGGCAGCGGTCGATGATGACGAAGCTAGGGTTAGCTTCTTTGTTGGCGGCACCTCGATCGGTGATTCGTCCATCTTGTCATTGCGGAACATGGTGGCGCACAGGACCTCTTCCCGACGTTGGTGGTTGAACGTCGACGATGTCTGCCCTGGGAGCCGGTAAGAGTTCGATTCTTTCGAACCAGGCTCTGATACCAATTGATGCAGAACGGGATTTCACGCACCGGTGATCTCGAGCGATTTAGCGAAAGAACTAGAAAACACGATAAAAGAGCAACTTTCCTCTACTAACTACTTAATACTTTATTGATCGACTTCATAAAACGAAGAGCAAAGGTACATATTTATAGGATTAATCCTACAAACTCCTTTCCTCTTAAGACAAGGAAACCCAAACCTAAAGCAACAAGTAAATGAATACTTCCTAAACAAGATACATAATAATAATCCTAGACCCAAACTAATACGAATAACCCAAATAATAACCGAATATCCCAACAAATAATAATAATAAAACAATAATAATAATAATATTAATGGGCTCGGCCCAAGATACTGTCACACATCAATTAACCAATTGCATTGCGTCATATATCCACCAATGAAAGACCCAACCTGTTCTACCTTCTATTAATGCATGCTTAGCAACGTCGCACCTATTGTTAACCCAGTGCGCAGCGGGACTGAAAGTGTTCATGAAGCAAAATAAATTTTATCAATTATAAGATACCCAAAATTGTAATCATCCGAGTATTTGATGACTTATTATTTTTTTTTTCCGGCAGAGTGAAAAAGAATTGCACCACTCCCCATATGAATACATTGCAAATAGGAAAACGAAATAAGCTCTCCTATATTTTAGCAAAGTAAAAATACATTATTCTTCCAAATTATCTCCTTTTTAATCGATTTAGCTTAAGTTTAAAAATTCTTACAAATGATATCAGCTGCTACTAGTACTTATCCAATCAACCATGAATTGAATCTCATACCAAACAAAATTGCATGCAAATGTCAAAAAATAGATGTTGGTATCCTTCCCATCTTATCCTCAATAACATGTTGAAAATTTTCATACTTATATTGAAGATTACTTGTATGTGCAGATAGAGCCAAATTCACATGCTTCCAGCATAATTTATTTGGTATCGAGAGTATCTCTGAAATTTGAAGCAAGCATACAAAAGATCATTGCAGTACTATTATTCTAGTAGCTTTGTTTGATTTTTTCAATTCAGTCCATACACTCAGCCTCTAATAATGCATATGGGATAACATAATATCAGAATAATTTTTTACATAATAGCAATGGATTAATGATTCTTTGAAAACATGCATCCTCACAATGAGAATATGAACTATTTTTGTGCCACGCATACTTTGTACGTAAACAAACAAATAGTACAATGACATTGATTTTGGCAATCACTCCGGTGTAATCAACAATTAAAGTGACCACATCATTTCGTGGAAAATCATATTTTTACCATCTTCTTCCAATTAAGCAAGCAACTTAATTTCAACGATCATGGATTCGTCTAATCTATCCCTTGCCGATTGAAATGTTTGACCTAAGATATTGCTTGAGTCTACCATCTCTTGCTATGACATATAATAGAATCGATCAAAGGTTTCAAAACTGAATCCATGGAGAAAAAACCTAATTAATTATAGGTTTTATTGTTGGTATCACATTGGTGTAGAGTTAGGCAATTTTTGATATATTGCCTTTGAGAGTCTGCAATCCATCAATTCGATGATATACTTGACCTCCAATGAAATGGAATGCATACATATACTCCATGCATATAATTTATAGCTCAACTATGTTTACCATCACATTAATGTAAACCTCTTAACCTCAAATTTATTCTAAAAAGTGTCACCTAGGAAGAGCATTTGCTTACGATAACATAATAAATCTTTGACTTATTATAATTTTTTATAGGACTTCCCCAATAAAACTCAACTAGTATCTCTTCCAAAACCCGATTTTGTACAACAAAAAGATGTCTCACACGTTGAGCTTACCCCATACTTTATTTCTCAACATAGCATGACAAATTTTGAATGATGCAAACATGTCTTGATAGGTATTTTTTTTCATCTCATAGGAGATACAGTTCACCCTATAGAAATTTTATTTTGAAAGGGGAGACTCCTTTGCATAATCAGGAATCTATGAATGAATCAAAGAACATAGCATTCAAACAGATCAAATGGTCATTACTTCTCGTTGACTATTGATGACACATATAATGAGCTATTTCTATACCCTCGTATTATGATCAAAAGTGCATACATGTCCTATCATTATCATCATAATACCTTGGTTTTAGGCTATGAATGCGTCAAGTGTGTTTTAGCAACCCTACGATTGCTTTTATACGATTGATACGCTTTTGGTAGCGTTTGTGTATTTTTCAGGTCAAAGCATACTAGTGGACCACTTGACATTCGCGAGGAAAGTCGAGATCTAGTTGATGGAGCAAGGATTCAAAGAGAGTATGAGCTTAAAGAATGGCGCCATAAACGACGCCCCATGATGTGAACTACACTTCAGCCGCAGTTTAACGAAGCTCAACTACTTCGTCAAAAAGTCACCTAGGAGCCTCCTGATTTGCTAGACCCATGTTTGGAGACTTCTGATTAGCTGGATGCCGCTAATGCTACGAGATTTCTTCCTTAGAAAGCCTAATCAAAGGCATATAAATAGGTCTCTAGAGATAGAACTTGGAAATGAAAAGAAAATAGGTCAAGGAAGGATCGTTACTCTGCCGACAAAACAACCTTCCTGACTTAGAGCGACACCAACCTCCAAGAGAGAATCTGTGCCAGAAATGACATCCTTGGCCCTGTCTTTTGTGATGGTGGCGTCGATTCTTATGGGTTTCTTTAGTCTTCGTTTCAATCGATGAACACCTAGAAACCCCTCTCCACGGTTGGCTAGCTCCTTAGTTGAGAATATCTCGTATCAAATTCTTGATTATTATTTTGTATATTATCTTTAAACTTCAATCCTTGTTTCGCTAGTACGAATGCTGATAGACCATTGATTGCACATATTTTTACCCCTATTCTTGAGCCGTTTGATATGTTGATTCTCGTGTTTTAAGCCGATTTCACGCTAGGTTGGGTGTTTATGTCATATTTCAGGACTTGGCGTTGGCATTGAGGCGAAGAAACGAGTTTCGGGTCGAAAGGAGGACGTTTGAGTTGAAGGGTGCTGGAGGAGCAAAATACCTGGCCATGAGCAAAAATACCCGGTCGGGTAATAATCTGAAGAGGCCGGGGAAAAATGGTTTTAGGCGCCCAGAGACCAGAAGGGAGCCCGGGCATTGAGAAAAAAATACCCGATCGGGTATTAGCCCCTGTCCTGTGCGCTGCGTTTTGAAATCCCCGGTCGGGAACCTAAAATACCCAACCGAGGATTATGACCGGGGATCGCGACCTGTTGGTTTTTAAGGGGAAGAAGGCTGATTTTTAAAGGGTTTCGGGTTTTAGAGAAAGAAAGTTATACCTAGAGAAAGAAAGCGACGAACCAGAGTTCCCAAGCGCCTTAGATCGGTCTTATCATCAGTGGAGCTCGGATAACGCTTGGAGAAGTGCCGATTGTCGTCCAGATGCAGAACCCCCTCCTTCACAGCATGATTTCTGCTTCTAAGCTAGAGTTTGCTTCTCTCTCCATGGAGTAACTTCCACATTCACCTAGGTATGAAGAACCCTAGATTTGTATGTTAGGTCTGATTGTATGAACCCGAGTATGAATCCATTGATTTGATTATATTCAATTGAGGTATGATTTGTTGAATGACATGAATCCTGATTAAATTCCTGTTGTTTCTGCTTTGACCTATAAAGAGAATATCTGCCTAGGTTGATAGAACACCCTTGATTGAAGGTAGTGAATTGACGACTTTAGTCGAGGAGTCAGTTCACTATTCTGTACTGGATTTACTTCGGTAGTGGAGGTTTGGTTCGTTAGGGCCTCAATCTGGTTACTCCGGTGGAGGTTAGTCGCCCGCTGGGGACTAAGATTGAGAGGGTCTGGAGATCTTTAGTCGAGACTGCAGACTGCATAAGAACCTCCCACGGTATAACTATCTTTGAGTTCGAACTTGGTAAATTACAATTTGGCTTAACTGCAGTCTAGGGGGAACCATATCTGGGTGACCTCTCTCAACTTGAAAACAACCTTTTACTGCTTTGCTTGTTTGTTTGCTTGGACCTTCACTACACTTTCACTGCTAAATAATAAGAATTCACGGAGTAGTCATCACACTTAGGACCCGGGTTGACATTAAAACCCAAACCCGCTATACTACGCTCTAGTAGGTGGTTACACTTGGCCATTTTCTAGTGTGACGGTAGAGGCGAGTCAAGTTTTTGGCGCCATTGTCGGGTGTTATGGGACAATCCAAGTACCACATCGGTAATACAAGGGGAGGGACCCTTGTATATTAGTGTCCACCAATCTAATTAGTACGAGGCCTTTTGGGGAGGACACCCAAAAGTAAATCCGTGCGGGCTTGGCCCAAAGCGAACAATATCGTACTAATTGAGCTGCCCGGTTATGACAAGTGGTATCAGAGCCTGGTTTGGCAGATCCGGGGCGGTGGACGTCAGTTTGGTGGACCCTCGTTTGGTGACCTCGGGGTTTGAGATCTGCGTTTGGTGGATCCAGGAGAAATCCACATTTGGGCTTGGCGGATCAAAGTGAGTTTCGCATTTGGGAAGCAGATCAAAGAGAGTTCTGCGTCTGGTAAAGTCCTTGTATCGAGAAGCCCATCGATACAAGGCGTCTGGCGGATCAAGAAAATCACTAAGGTGAGGACACGAAATCCGTGGTCCTTGTCTTGAGGAGAGGATTGTTATGGGACAATCCAAGTACCACATCGGTAATACAAGGGAAGGGACCCTTTTATATTAGTGTCCACCAATCTAATTAGTACGAGGCCTTTTGGGGAGGACACCCAAAAGTAAATCCGTGCGGGCTTGGCCCAAAGCGGACAATATCGTACTAATTGAGCTGCCCGGTTATGACAAGTGGTATCAGAGCCTGGTTTGGCAGATCC